CTCTCCTTCGACAACAGTCATGCCACGCGCATTTTCCCTCGTCGGCGCACTATTTTTTGAAGATATCTCATGATCTATAAGGCCAATTTTGACAATTCAACCACCTTTCAATGAGCTCTACAACTTCAATTAGAAGCCCAAAGGTGGTTAATTTAGTATGAAAAAAAGTTTTAGAATGATGCAGCCCACATTTGCAAAATCTTAATTTCTATAAGTAAACTGTATCATATTATACTATGATCTCTCACTGGCTGACTGGTGAATCACTAATTAACTTTAATCTTAATGAATTTTAAAAATTTTATCTGTACTGCCAATTTTGTATATATTTCAGTATATATTATACAATTAATATTTGTATTATATTGAGTTGCATAGTTAAAAATAAGAAACAATTATAAGTTAAACTTTTAATTTTATTATATTTATTATTATTATTATATACAAAGTATATACAAGATATTAATTATCTTTTAATTATATAAAATTAATAGGTTTATATATATTTCAGATTATATTAAGGTTTTGCTATATAATTAGAATTATTTAAATAATATTGCTATTTTAAGTACTGAGAAAAATTCTATAATTAACAATGAATAATTTATATTTATTTACATAACTATAATTTAATTCTTTTATTTAAAGGATAAATCTATATTTTGTACCCTGCAGTATATTTATATATAGCACCTCACATGACCTATATACTGCCATAATATAAAATGTATAACAATAATAGCAAACTGCTAGCATATAATAATTTGACAAAAAATCAATTACAAACTACATACTTATGATATAAAGTGTAAGCGTATAAATAATTGTTGTGATTAATCTTATAATTAAGCATATTAAAGTAGAATCGCAAGTATCAATTATGAGCAACAGTCAAACATATAAGTGATAAATGAAATGGTTAGCTGTTGGTACAATTAGTATAAGAAACATTAATAGTTCAAATAATTAGCTATTAGTGCAATTAGTATAAAAAACATTAATAGATCGAATAGTTAGTGTGATTAATAGAAGAAACATGTAGTAGCAAACTTGTATATTCTTTCCACTTGGTTTGTAAATTGTTCTAAATAAAGTTAAAGACAAATAAAGTTCTATACAACAAAATAACATATCGTATCTAATTATTAATCTGAATAAAATTATATATGATACCTTATATTTTGCACCTAACAAATTAAGTGATAAATAAACTAGCTATTATATAATAAGAACTATCTTCATAAATCACTTTTCTACATTATTCTAAAATTTTTTAGCAACACAAAAATCCTAAAAAGAATCAAAATCCTAGAAAGAATTAGAAAAGATGAATATAAAATTGATACCTCTAGAACTATTGAAAACCAAATTAAAAAACCTATTTGAAATATAGCAATATAGTAAGCAAGAATAATACACAACAAAAAGAAAATATATATAAAAATGACTTATCTTAAAACAATGCAGTCACATTTGAAATGCACGAAAAAACAGGAAAAAAACCAGTATACAACTAGATACAAAGATCAGTTAAATGAAGTGCAAAATAATGATATTATTAATAATAAATCAGCATCTGGAGCAGAACATACAGTTATTGAGAGATCAATAATCGAAAATATGAAGGTTATGAATGGTATATATCTTATAATTTAGCTATATGTCATTTGAACTATATACTGATGGATATGCTAGATTTTATATTATCAGAAGACATTCCAAAAGATATAAAGTTCAACACTTGGGAGCAAGTAGAAGGATTTTTTGCTAAATATAATGTATGAAATAGGTTTGAGATTAATAAATATCAGATAGAACATAGTAAATCTGGAGAAGTCTAGAAGAAAACCTTTATCTGCGAATTTGGTAGAAAATATAAGGCAAAAAAAGATCTATCAGTAGCACAAAAAGAAGCACAACGTAAAATAAAAACTAAGAAGTGAAAATGTCCATAGTATTGTAATCTCTCGTTAGGCGAACATAGATCTCAAATAGGAATTATCATACTAGTTAATAAGCACAACCATAAACTATTAGCAAAAACTCATAAATTCAGAATCAAGTATAGGTTGTTAAGTGAGGAGGCTTTAAAAGAAGTAGAAATGATGACTAAGCATGCAAATCTTTTAATTACTATTCAAAGAAGTCTTCTTAGAGCCTGGTTTTCTAATTTAAACTTTCAGGATTCTGATCTTGATAATGCAATCCAAAGATATAAAAGTCTAATACTAATAACAATATACACAACAATAATGATGCATCAATTTTACTTACATTATTGATGGAAAAAAAAGTCTCAAATCCACAATAGGTTGTTGAATTTGAACTCGATAAAGACAATCGCTTGTTTTGGTTCTTATAGATGTCCTCTGAACAGGTAAACTTATGGCTAAGATATCATGATATAGTAGTTAATGATAATACGATATGCACAAATAAGTACCAAATGCCACTAGGTCTCTTCATCATTATAGACAATAATAAAAAGACTCAGCTAGTTTGTCAAACCTTAGTCAGTAATAAAACATTGAATACACATATGTAGATTTTAAGTTCTATAAATAAAGTTTAGATCGACCACCAATCGTAATATTCACAAATGCAGATCCAGCATTAGATTCTGCAATCTCTATCGTATTTCTGACTACACACATGGCTCATTGCATATATCATATTAGTCAGAATTTATCTAAGAATTTGAAATCTAAGCTAGAAGACAAATAGAATGAATTTATAAAAGATTTTTACCAGTGCCGAAATAGTTTATGTAAACCGCTTTTCGAAAAGAAATGGAATGATCTACAAAAAAATTATCCAATAGCAAAAGATTATTTGCTTAGGGTTCTTGATCCAAGTTGTAAGTTCTAGATACGTACATATTTGCACAAGATCTTTACAGCAGTAATAGAGAGTACTGCATATGTAGAAGTATACAATTGAATAATTAAAAAAGAATTAAACTCAAGTTGTACTTTATGTGAGCTTGCAGATCGCCTAGACCAACGTTTGAAAGATAAAAATCAATAAAAACAATTTTATAAATATAAATCTTCAACTACCATGTTAATGATACCTATGGCTGACCAGGATCTCTTCTCTATGATTAATAAGAAATTAGATGAATATTTAACTGAAGTGATAAATAATAAAATTAAAACTAAAATGAGTCAAAATCTTTTTCTTTGTACAAATAGAATTGAACTTTCAAATGAAGACTTAACTCAGGAACAGGTAAATGATTGATAAAAATGATAGTATTACTATACGTGATCTAACAAAATTAAATATAGGATAATAAAACCTGTGATGGATTTATTGAAGATCACTATGATGCTAAAAGAATGATGCTTTAAGCTCTAATCGATGAAGTTGAGCATGAGAATTTAAAAGAAATTTGGAAAATTTCAGACTTATGGAGTGAAAAGCATTCCGTTCATTTTATAGTAATTGCTAATCTGATTTCATTTTTATGCTCATGCCTTATGAATATCTCTAAAGGTATTATATGCCAACATTATTTTTGTGTCATAATACATTCGAGTGTCACAGCATTTCATATATCGATAGTACCTATCTGGTGGTATAAAGATTCCTATCAAGACTGTATAGTATTAGAAAACAGTATAATATTCGACAATAAGAAAGGTATACTTAGCTCAAATCAAAATAATGAAATAATTTTTCTGATACGCAAGCCAGCTACTATTCTAGCCACTGCTTCAGTTACAAAAAATACTATTCAAAAAAAGCACCAATATGGGCAAATTTGGGGACTTGCACGTGAAGCTACCTTGCTTGCATCAGCAAAAAATATAGGCCGATATATATCAATCAATATCTGTGGATATATATTGATAATAATCCCCCTGTTGGGTTCTATCGATTGTGATAGTAATCGATATATATCCGGTTAATATTCAATTGATAATTATCAATTATGCTAATTATTGATATATAACTTTAATAAAAATTATTTAAAAAATTTATTTAAACTCATGTAAATATAATATA